CAGATAATCACTAAAACATTTATAGAAAAGAAACCTAGAACTCCTTAATTAAACACTGAAGTATAGGACAATCTAAAAGCCATCCAAATTTCATATATTTCCAGGCTACTGAAAGATGATAAAAAACCTCTTTCAATAGTGAGTCAAAAGAAAGTCTACTATTTACAAAAGGATTTTGTTGGATTTAATATGAGACATTTAATTACATCAACATATGTTATTGATATCATCATTTACATACCATGTTTTGTGGGTGTTTTTTTAGATAACTTTTAAAGGTCCAAATTTTAAAATGATCATTATGAATTCATGGATCTAGCCTCTAAGTTCATTGACAGTAATCAGTGGTAGATCATCGACTGTCTAATGCAGTACGTTCTTACATTAAGCTATTTGAGCTAGCGTGAAAATAATCATTAAAAATTTACAAAATGGCTTCTTTCAGTCCATAGGATATTAATTAATCTAAGTTTCGTATATATATATATAGCGATGAACACAAAGGTCATTATAATATACTGAATAATAATCAAGAAAACTTGTAAGGTAATGATAGTAACTGATTAGAGTTTGAAAAAATTCGGTAATAATCAAACAAAAGTGCAGAGAAACAAGCAAAAATGAAAACTCAGAAACATAACCATTAAAGGAATTAGGGCGAAGGAAGGGACAAATCGTCTCTGCACGCGAAGTTCAGCCTTGAGTTCGTGAATTGCCAATGCCTCAGGAGTGCATAACATATTTATTCGAGCCCCCTTCCATCCAGTTCATTTGACTCTGTAGATTACTTTAAAACAAGAGTCTTTTAGAGCGATGTATCCATAGTTAATTAAATGCTCCAGTATCAAACTAGTAATTGTTTTACATTCTCTGTTTAGGAGCCAAGCCGGACAGTGTTCCGAGATGCGTTTGGAAAGTGATCACTTTATGCGGCCTATGTAACGTGCCCCACATGAGCAGGTAAATTTATAGATTCACATTGGTGTGGCCCGAAGCGAAAGTTTATCCTTAATACATCCCAGAATGGTGGGCCGGCTAGAGAAAACAATTCGGAGCTTTGCTGCGTAGAATGTTTTATTCAACGATTTTGAAATCCCTTTCTTTAGGATTTCAGCAGCCGTTTCTCCTTTAAATTCCATATTCATAAGCAGAGTTCCTTCTGTACCGTCGATGCTTTTTCATGATGAAGTCTAGGTGTTAAGTTGCTATCGACGAATCTAGGTGGATAATCATTTCTGATGAGGGTCTGTCGAAGATGAAATAGTTCCTCATCTATTGTGTCATTGGAACAGATTTGACTGATACTAGAGGATAAAGAGTGAATTGAGTTCTTTATTCTACCCAATGGGACCCAACTATAGGAATTCGTGTATTGTCCATTCTAGGTAGGTTTTCTATACATAGATATCTGTAAAAGACCATCATTCTTTTTAAACGGATATCAAGAAAGTGAAATTCATGGTTTGCCCCTGCTTCTTAGGTGCAGCTTAAGTAAATGATTTTATCGAAAACAATATTTTCTTCGCTGAATTCTCTTTTCCTTATTCGGTGTGAAATGTCCGATTTACCCCCTATCCTTTTGCCTTATGATCAATCAAAAATGCATTTTTCTAAACGTATGATGGACAGTCTATTTTCAATAACTATTGTGATAAAAAGCAAAGACAGATGGTGGCTACCAGTGAAATCTAGGATGCGCATTTCGTCTTATTTGGGACTCGTCAGCGGGACGTGCCTACAAATCACAAGTTTGTTAGACAATTTCAGGTGGTCGAAAATGTAAAGGTCATGAACGTAATTGCGTAAATACTTCCAGCGAAAAATGTAATAATACGTATAATAAATTTACCTATTAATTTCGAAAGCCAATGTTTGGTTAGAGTTCCGAACGAAACGATTGTACATGAAGTAGACTAATTACATTCTAGGTTATGGTTTTTGCACCTCATTAGAATGGATTTGGAGTACGTGGAGAGCGTTAAGAATGGAGAATATGTCTTAATTCGGTTACTATTATCATACCTTAAACTTTGTAAATTTTCATCTCCGTTTCGACAGTTAATTCTACTGATGAGTATTACATTATGTCGAATCTGAGAGAGGTTATTTTGTCTCTCTAACTAATTATAAGTCAAGATAATAACAACCACCGTAGAAATCTAAATAAAAATGGATGAAATGATATACATTCGACATTTTAATAATCGGCTGGTTTGTTCCATGAGTATATTTTCACTAATCTATGTCACTACAATAAGAAAAGGTTCACTCCCAATAAACTAAGGATTTTATTCTTTCGAACTGCTCTTGCATAACACTATATGGTTCGTCTAGTTTTGATACTTAATAGTTATAATATGTGTACACGACACAAAGTGATGTAACCAATCGGGGTAATCGCTCATACAAGTATAAGGTAACCTACCGCTAACTGTATGATTATTTTTAGAAATTTGATTATGTTGACAGCAGATTACTTAAACGTATTTCAATGATTTTTTCAAAATATAGCTTCAGTAAGAGTTATGAGCTAAGATTGTAGTTACAAATTTCATGTAAGCCTATAAATATGATTTCTAATGACAAAATATATCAAATAAATAATTATTTCGTACTTCATGAACATACCAGAATGGTATCATGCTACAGTCATTGGTTTTACAGCGATTCTTTAAAATTATAATATAAACCTAGAGATTTTAATTCATTAACAATTTACACAAAAAGAACTTTCATGGATAAACTACTGCAAATGTCCTTTGTCTGCATGTTGTGTTACACCCGACAGATCTATATGCTATGTGGACTAATGAAACAGCTTAGCCCCAAATGATTTTACAAATAGTGTCGATTTACGTAGCAAGTTAGGTGGTAAACTATCAGTTCATTTTTACGAATTATTCAAATTGTATCAAATATTATTATTATTAGCTTTATTCAATATTATATTTTTGGTACAATATAGAATTCTCAGCACAAAGTACTTCAACAAGTTTCCGTTTCTTACCTCTTCGTCCTTTCTGACGACAAATATTTGGTGATTGCCTGTTAGAAGTTAGCAGCCCAGTCAATCGACATCTGGATAATGTACATTCTTCTCGCTGCATATTGCCAGAAACCACGATATCTCTGAATAAGCCTTCTGTAACCTTTACAGCGAAAGGTCTTACACTTTTCAGAAACGCACTTGAATAGGTTGTGCGATTAATAGGCATAATGATGTATTAAAACAAACAAAATCAGATAACTTGTTGAAATATCTAGATGACAGGAACAGGTAGCCCAGATGTTTAAACAGGCCGCCAAGCATCGAGCATCTACGCATCTTGTAAAATTTCTCAACAAGCTATATACTGATTATCGATCTCCTCTTAGGTTATGAACAACAGATGATGGTATTTACTGTGTCTGCGTCCTTTACTATTTTTATTGTAACTACTTGATGTAATCTGTTTTGTAAATTGCAACTTCAATACTTTAGTTAACTCTAAGCATATGCCAGGTTTAAAATGATAAGTTCAAAGTTTGTTCATCAACCACTTATTCAGTGTTTTTATATGAGTCATTTAAGTCATAATAAAAACAAAGATGTTATTATGAAATATTCGACGGAAACTTTATTTATGAAAACATTTCTCATTTGCTAATGTAGGATTGTCAGCATTGATTATTATTCACCCACTGTAATGCATCTAAAAGAAAAAAAAGCCCTCAAAATATCCGATTGATTTTCTTAAGAAATTTTAGTTTAAAGAAGTAATAAAATGTTGTCATATATTTTAAATGGCATCACAGAAAACATTAGTATCATTTCAAAGTGATCAAAACTACAAATTAATCCGAAATTTGATTATCTAGATCCTAGTCAAAAACTGAAATACGTCAAAAGGTATATTTTTACTTTAGATCACCTTTAAAATGATGAATACTGAATTTCAGCTCCCATAAATAACGGTTCCAGGTACTAAGCTTCTGTCTGATTAACTAAAATACCTTTTCTAAAGTAATAAAACATTTTTATAAGGATGTTGATGTCTAATCAATTTACCATCCAGCTATTTATTATGTAATTGACTTCATCAAAGTTATCATTTACTCTAGTGTATGTAAATCATGTTCTACATTTCATCTATCCATATTTGTGGGGGATCTAATCACACCAACTGTGATGAAACTATTGTTACATAATTCATAATAAATTGCCTTGGTAACTAACGTTTAAAACAAAATGAGTGTAACGGAGAAAAGTTTCTACTACCAAGCAAATAATTTACTCAAACTATTTTATCGTAAAGAAGCTAACTCACTGGATTTAATTTTCTGTGTATATAATCAAATAATGTCATTCATAACAAAACAATATATTTCTTACTTCAGTATGAAAATGCTCGTTAATGTATATTAGGAAAGAATTACATATTAACCAATTAAAATATAAAGCATTAGATCCAAATTAGCAATAACTGTGATTTTTAAATTATTCCCAGTTAAAGAAAAAAAATAGCGTAAAAATAAGAAAATTAAGAAAGATTATTCATTTACGAACACAGTTTAAAATAAAAAACATAGATGGTAAAAACACGACATATTTATTTATATTTGAAAGTGCATAGTTTTCCTGTCTTTTTAAGAGTCGTTTTATAAATCTGATGGTTTTTAGAAAAAATGTTTTGCATATTATAAAATTCACATAGACAATTTGCTAAACTCAATGATTTTTGTAGTAAACATAGCTAAGAAAAAAAAAGAAAAAAACGATTGATGGTTGCTGAGCAGGAAAAAATTATCCATGTTTTCAAAGAACTACAGCTTAGTTGATTAAAACAATCACATAAGCATTGTTTTTTTTTCGAGTGTTTCTTTAATTGTTTGGATTAGGTTGATTAAGTCTCTCTAGTTCTTCAGCAGTTACACAAACAGGCTGAGGTATTCTTAAACCTCGGCAGGTATCAGTACACATTTGGCAACGGTTGAGTTTTTCAGGCATCTTTTGATCTTTAATCCATAAGGCAAGAAAGAATGCTATTAACAATGAAGAGAAAATACAAAATTAAACGTGTAAAATGACTAGCAAGTTACTTCATCATATCAAAATATTCGTATATCATTTAACGAAAGGCAAAACTTTAAAGTAACGCTATTTTTACTCATAAAAGCTGTAATGTCGTACCGTAGAATCGAATAGGTAAGAGTGGAAAGAAATTATCGTGTAATAATTAATCCATCCATGGGATTTATCATCAAACAAAATGATCTCGTAAATTTAAAAAATCTTTCCTCTCCTGACGACAGGTGATTAGTATAGCTAGACAAGATTGTTGATCACATCTCAGGAAATGGTTTTCCAAGATTCTTTAGGAACAGATTATTACATTGAACATTTTTCAGGTTGTCTGCAGTTACCTGTTTTAGATCATTTAAAATTTTATTTATCAAAAAATTAGTAAACCTCTTCTTGAACAATGAAAAAATAATTAAATGACTATTTTTGGTATTTATTTACAAACCTCTTGTTAAATTAAGCTAACAGACTACATCTCAGATAAATGTTCAAGCTTAATTAAAATCTAATAATTACATATATTAAAACTATTGAGTGGATAATATTCCCAAGAATGAATTTCACTCCACATTTTCTTAGTATCTAAATCCCAACAACTAAACGGTTTGTTTATGAATATTTTTACCCTTTCTAAAGCTATTGCAATAAATAACAGAAAAATTACACTTATTTGTTGCTTAGAAAGCGAATTCTATGAGCTACTACTGATACATCGAAACGTGGACGTGATATTTTGTGACATATGATGCTTAAGTTATATTTCAAGGTAACATCGTATGATATTTCAGTCCATTTATTGATAAAAACCATATAAGCCAACTTGATCTGAGAGGAATAGAATATCATGTACAATCATGGTTTAAACGAATTTTAAATAAATGATTCCAGAAATACAGGAAGACAGTTATCTGAACACTAAGGTCACAAAAGGTTGTATGTTAATTAGTAACGTGATCTTTTATTAGTTAATAGGCTTTGATTTTGTTAATCCCTGAGTGTACCGATACTCTAACTGTAATGTGAATTATTGTTACAACCGCAGGTTTTATGCTAACCTGATTAATTATCCAATTTAGTTACATGATAATTTATCAAAATATATCTAACGATATATCAGAATTCGCCTACTAAATTCCACTGAAGTCTAGTTTTTCAGGGCTTTGGTGTTTGAGAAATATTTTTAATTAGAATTCATACATAATAAGTATGTACACTTTGTTATGGATGTGAGATTAGGATCATACTTGTTTGAAAAGCTTTAGATTCACTCAGTTGTTTTGTTGTAAGTTATAACTGCTTGTCTTTACCTATTTTGAATATTTTCTAGGTAAACCTCAGTACTGATAAATTTCACAACATACCCTAAAAGTATTTTAGTAAGAAAACAGATCAGTAATGTTTAAGCTCTAACACTAATTTTGATGAACACCTGTGAGAATCTTGTCACTTCATGGTTTTATTATTAAAACTATTCGACAGCGAATTTGGACTGTGTTACTTACCAAACAAGCATACGAATCCACAACCAGTAAACTGAACTACATATGCATTTTGATAGCTCACAAATGTCGTTACCATTGCACATAAAACGCTTCCTACAGTCTTAAAAAAATACGTAAAATAAAAACTAAATTATATGTTATATTCGGTAATATTTATCAAATTTATGTTCACTTAAATAGATAAACGAGTCTCATGATAGTTGTTGTGTCTGTTATTCAATTAAGCTTATATTTTCAATCTTATTATTATTTTTACTGTCTTGTGATTTTGGTATTGTAAGTATTTTCCAAGTTATTTCACACTTTTGGTGTTAGTATTTGATTTACATTACATATTAAATTGCAATAAAAACTACAGAAACAATGACGACTTATTATATATTACGTATGTATTTGTATTTCTATATTTGTAAATAGCAATCTTCTTCTAGAACATAAGTTTGGTGTCAACTCATGCCTGTGATTACCAGATCTCATATATATCACTTCTCAGTTTTCCATTGTTTTTAGCGCTATGGCAAATACACCTTACGATTTGTAAATTCCTTATGTCGTTTTACTGCAGAGGAATATGGTGAGTATTTAGGCTGGAAATTATATTTACTATGAATGACTGGTTAGAGTCTTTTTAGCAAGGTTGTTTTTTACGGTTAAACTATAGCCAAAGAGGCACTAGAGAACAAGACAAAGAGCATTACAAAGGCTTTACACAGCTTTCCTTCTAGACACGGGCATGCTATACGAATTTAAAAAAGCACTTAGCAGCAGGTTCCTAGCCTTACAAGATCTGCTCAAAGAAGAGGAAACTACTGTGGAGAACAACTGGAAATGGATTAAGGAAGCAATAACTGCAGCATGCCATAAGGTGCTGGGATGCAAAAAACATCATCATAAAGAATGGATTTCTATCGAAACATTGTGCACGATTGAAGGAAGGAACAGCAAGAAAACAGCAATTAACAACAGTTGAACAAAAACACAGAAATTCGACGTACAAACTGAATACACAAAAGTAAACAAGCAAGTAAAGAAGAGCATTAAAGCCGACAAGCAGAAACATGTGGAAGAGCTAGCAACGACAGTGGAAAAAGCTGCAAGAGAATGGGATATGAAACAACTATATGATACGACAAAGAAACTGGAGGCGAAATACAGTAAACCAGAGAGACCGGTCATGGACAAAGAAGGAAAGACAAACACGGAGATTCGAGAACAGAAGAAAACATTGTTAGAATACTTCGAGGAACTGCTGAATAGACCAGTTCCATTGAATCCATCGGATATTTAAGCAACACCTACTGACTTTCCTAAAGATGTCACTCCACCAACGACCAAATAAATCAGGATGGCCATCAGACAAATCAAGAGTGGGAATGCAGCAGGACCTGACAATATACCAGCCGAAGCGCCAAGGTCAACATAGAAGTAATTGCAAACATGCTCCACCTTCTATTCAGGAAGATTTGGGAGGAAGAACAGGTTACGATGGACTGGAAAGAAGGCTATCTCATCAAGATACCAAAGAAGGGAGATCTGAGCAAATGTAAAAACCATAGACGCATCACACTACTGTTAGCACCAGGAAAAGTTTTCAACAAAATGTTGCTCAACTGAATCAAAGATTCAGTAGACGTCCAACTTCGAGATCAACAGATCGGATTCCGTAAAGATCGGTCGTGAAAAGACCAAACTGCGACATTACGGATCATTGTTGAGCAATCAATTGAGTGGAACTCATTATACATAAACTTCCTTGACTATGAGAAAGCGTTTGACATAGTGGACAAGTGAACCTTATGGAACCATCTTCGACACTATGGTGTACCTGAGGAAATCTTCAACATCGTACGGAATTCTAATGACGTACCACACTGCTAATTGTGAATGGAGGACAGCTGACAGATGCATTCCAAGTGAAGACCGGAGTCAGACAAGTCTGCTTACTCTTCCCCTTCCTCTTTCTTCCGGTGGTCGACTGGATTATGAAGACCTCCACATCTCATGGGAAGCACGAAATACAATGGATATGAATTTGAACAATGCTAGAACAAACATTGGTGCAGAATAATATGAATCCATCATGTTTCATCGTTTCTCATCAGCTGCTTACAAACATAAATGTATGGAAAGTTAAAATTGAAGTAAGATATCATGTGAGGCAATTGATATAGATGAACGAAAAGAAATAGAATGACAAGGGTTATCAATAATGTATATATATTCAAGAACAGGTTACATGTCATATGAAGTTGGAATTAAAAACATAAGAAGAGGCCGATGCATTAATCAAATGAGGTCTGTAGACCGGTGATTGTGTGATAATTTTAGAGGTTATGAAGGGTTGACATAAGATTACTGGAATTAAAGATTGATAAGTTACTTAATAACTGAACAGGATTTGAAGAGTTAAGAGAATTAAGTGAACGAAAACGTAGGAGTGAAGGGATGGTTTTGGTGTACATAAAATACGACCATATAACAAAATTGACACTAATAAAATAATGATAATGACAAAAATAATTTGCTAAGGGTAGCGATAAATTTATTACCATCTCTTTCTGGATACATAAGTCAGGTTTGAGTTTTTTTTATAACCATTGCCTTAGCAAACAAAAGAGCCTCTGCTAATAATTTCAAAGACTTGTGGAGTGTCAACGGTATGTCCGGTGTCAAGTAAATACCGAGCTATTGCACTCTTTAGAGCCATTTCGCCTCTCAGTCTCAACTTTTTTGGGACGTGATCGGAAATGTGAACATGTACTCTTCCCTCTGTTTTCCCAATGTATGTGCTTCGGCACCTACATGTAAACCGGTGAAGGCAGTCGGAGGTACTAAGGAAAGAGAACCTGTCAATTTTTGTTTGTTTGAGTGAGCAGTTCGTTTCATACCACGTCGTCACTCTCGCTGATAGATAAGCAACCTCCAACGCGGCATTTATCCTGTGGTTAATTATTCCAGTAATCGCATCTCCTTTGAGGGGCAGATATGAGAAGTAGGTTTTCATTGCTACTGTATCGTATTTAACACGGACGCTGTTTATGACATACTTTTCTATGAATTTCGCTAGATATGCATTTTCTTGCAGGCGATTTGTAGTGAACTCAAGTTCTTCTTTCAAGCTTTCCTTACAGCAAAGTTTACGTGTGCGGTTAAAGAGGGTCCGTACAAGTTCCTTTTTGTAACTCATTGGACAGAAACTGTTGTAATTGAGATAAAATCCACTCCAGGTATTTTTGCAGTGGATATGTCTTTGTAATGTGCCGTCTGAGGTTCGTTTGATTCCAATAACTAAGAAATATAATTTATCTTCTGTTTCATGTTCCATAGTGAAATCTATATCCTTGTGTGCCTTGTTAAACAGATCGAGTAGGTACAAAGAATGCTTATGAGTGTTGCAGACAAGAAATGTGTCATCAATATATCTACAGGAGAGTGTGGTTTCTTTGATTGAATGCTTGAGCTTTCTCTGTTCCAAGTTTGTCATAAATATATCAGCCAGCATTGAACACAGAGGGCTACCAATGGCTACTCCATCAATTCGGTGGCACAAAATATTGCTGAATTGGAATTGTATATATTTGGTACACAAGAACAGGAGCTGTTTGAATTCATTGATTGGCAAAGGAAGGAGTTCAGGATATTTACATATGATATCTATCGTTTCTTTCGAAGGAATCTTTGTTAAGAGAGATGAGACATGAAAAGATATCATGAATTCATTGGAAGCATTTAGGCTGTCCAGGACTTTGTACGAATTCGAAACTATCCTTCAGACTGTAGGTAGCTAGTTTCTTACGGATTGGTTCAGCTTAGATGCAATTAGACGATTTTAACTTCATGTAGCTCTTCTATCCCATACACTGCAACAAATACAGGTTATAACAGCCAGTGTAGCAGCAGCCTCTACAGCAGTAGGTCACAGAATTCACAAGGGAAAAAGCAAGGTCCTGAAATACGACACAGTGAGCCTCATTTCAATCACACTTGATGGAGATGCTCTGGAGGAAGTGGAAAGTTTCACATACTTGGGTAGCATCATTGGTAAACAAGGAGAACCTGATACAGATGTAAAGGCAAGGATTGGTAAATCAAGGGCTGTATCCTTACAATTGGTTAGCATATGGGACTCAAAATAACCGCCATTCAGCACATCAGAGTCAGAATTTCCAATACAAACGTCAAGACAGTTCTATTGTACGGTGATGAAACTTGGATTACCACTACAACTATCATCAAAAAAGTACAGGTATTTATAAACAATTGTCTACGCAAGATATTCAATGTCCGTTGAACAGATACCATCAACAACAACTTACTATAGTGGAGAACAAACCATTGCGGAAATCATCAAACTGGATCACGAGTCAAGCCCTAACTTGGAATCCTGAAGGGAAAAGGAAAAGAGGAGGACCAAGGAATACATTGAGTCGGGAATTGGAAGTAAACATCAAAATAATGAATAGCAGCTGAAAAGGATCGTCCAGGACAGAGTTGAATGGATAATCCTAGTGGGCAGCCTATGCTCCTCCACGAAGAGTAACAGGCGTAAATAAGTAAGAATGACAGTATTTGCATCAGCGTTAAGAAGCTAACCGTGGAATTGAGAATATGATGATGGATACATGCAGGTAGGTATGGTTATTAATATTGAAGACAGGATTTTCTGATACAATCTTGGATACCTGGACAGTTTTATCTTAGAATTTGTGATAAGCAAATCGAGTTTTAAAAAATAATGCGTTTGGCGTATTTAGTAAATGGCTTAAGAATAAGGCATCTAGATTAGTTGAAGAAAGCTATTCGAATATTGAATTTCAATCAGTTTCCGTGTCCCTTCCCAGTGTTTTGGAGTAGTGAAATATGTGTGTGAACCGAAAAATAGATATATTTCTCTCATTGAATTAGAAGTCATAGGTAATGTCTCATATGTTTTGGATCTAAACAGAAGCCATTTTCTTATCAAACAAAATATTTTAATGTACAGAAGGTTGAACAGAGCATTCATAGTTCATGGGTTGTGAAATAACACATTGTTCAAGCTTAAGAAAACTTTTGGAAACATTAACTATGATGAAATTTAAAAGTTGTGATGCTCACATTATACTTATAAATAAGTCAGTTAGCTACAACGTAGAACCAGGCACATATATGCATCGGTCCAAGCTGCCACACCTCATTAGCACAAGATGAACATCAAATTCATAGAAGCAGTTACTTCAATGATAATAAAAAAAACATTTCATATAAGGATGTGATGCAGAGAGAACGTATTAATTCGTAGAAAGAAAGCTATAAAATAATTTTAATCTCACGGTTTAAGGGAAGACAAAGAGTCGATACACCCAAGCCATTGTGATCGATTCTGAACCATGTCACACAGAGTCTCAAACCATTGATTTCGATAGTCGCGCGGACTCCAACCAAGTATCACGAGGGGGTTTTGTGGAGATTTTAGTAATTTTATATAGTGGATCGTGGATGCGCACTGCTGAGGAGTCCCATAATAGGACGAAACGGCCGTCCAGTGCGTCCAGGTTTTCCATGGTGGTCTAGCTCCAACCAAGTAGTCTGCATCTACTAACATGGCTCAGATTTATAGTTAGTGACTTCGAGGACTGACGTCACGTTTTGGCTTGGCCACTCTTTACTTTCTTCCAACCATCCCCAATACTAGTCAGCATTGCGCGTCGTGGTAATCGGTGGTTGAGCATGCGTAATACGTGGCCCAACCCTCTCGATCGATGTAGATTCACAACCTCATCAACTGATTTGTCATCATTCCCTAATACCCTGAGTCTAACCTCACTATTAATTACCCGGTGTTCCCAGCAGATGCTGGATATATTTCTAAGACATCTGTAATCAAATACTAGTAACTTATAAGAATCGTCTACTCTTAATGGCCACGTTTCGCAGCCATGAAGTAAAATAGAACGAAGTACTGCGCAGTATATTCATTTTTTAATTGATAGACGAACAACTCTATCGCCACAGGTGACGTAAGTTGGAAAAAGCCAAGCGAATCCGTGCAGACATTTCGTCAGACACAAACCTAATAAAACTTATCAGACTTCAAAGGTAAGTGAAGTTGTCGACGCGTTCGACTACTTCACTCCCTATCCTTAGTTCAGGTGTTGACGCAGGTCAGTTCTGGAGCAACAATTCCTATTTAGATTGGGAGAAACTTCCCAAATATTCTGGCATTGTTGCTCAGTGCTACTAAAAGACTGCATTTTGTCAGCGTCTTCACCAAACAGGACTATGTCACCTGCGTATTCTAAGTCAATAAGTAGACCTCCTGGTAGATCAATTCCTGAAAATTCAGTCGACAAGAATGTTGTTTTCAGCGGTAGGTCTATGATGAAGTTAAACAGAAATGGTGATAGTGAACAACCTTGTCGGACACCACTTGAGGTTGCAAAATCATATGACAGTTCGCCGTAAGCTCTCACTCAACTGGTAGAGTTTGAGTAAAGAGATTTCACAAGGTTTATGTACTTCTGAGGTACACCTTTCAATGACAGACACTTTCACAGAACCTCTTGGTCTACAGAGTCGAATGCTGCTTTAAAGTCAAGAAAGACCACCATTGTCCGACGCCGATAAGTATTCCTGTGTTCTAAAACCTGACGAATGATGAATATGTGTTCGATGCAGCCACGACCAAGTCTGAAGCCAGCCTGATATACTCGTATTTGCAGTTCACGAGTCTTAGTTAGGTGTCCGATAATTATTAAGGCTGTATTTTAGATGTTATATTAGTCAAACTAATCCCTATATGGTTATCACAGGATGATTTTGACCCCTTCTTATATATTGGCACAATCAGTGGTTGCGACCAGTCAGATGGGATTACGTCCAACTCCCACATTTTAGCTAAAATATTAGTCAATCTAATCACTAAAAGTGGAGCACCATATTTAAAGACCTCTGGAGCCAATCCATCTGGACCAGATGCTCTTCCTAATTTCAGATTACATGTAGTTTTTAAACTTCACTTAGAGTCAAGGGGCCTATTTCAATGTTCCATTCAGGTTGTTTGGAGATGTTGAGTACTGTGGAGTAGATGAATGCCAGCTAATCTGCTCCTTAAAGTGTTCCACCCGTCGTTCTAAACGTCTAGACTGAAAGCAGATAAGAGTGCCCTCTTTTTCCGAGATTGTCTCACTTACACTTGACTTCTTAATCCCAATTTCTTTTATTAGTCCGAAAAGCTGTCTTATGTTACCTACTTTTGGTTAACCTAGATTTGATTTGTTTTTGCTCTTCATCGTGTTCGGAGTCTGATGGCATGAGTTTACGTGAATCCATACGTTCAATAAACTTGGGAGGAATCCATTGGTATTTCGTAACCCTTTTTGTTTAAATTACTTATAGATGTTACTGCAGTTTCCACAGCTGTTCGTATATATTTCCAGGCAATATCTGGATCAGCCTCGTTTACAGAACTGTCTAGATGTGAACTCAGTTGTTTCTGGAACTTACTTTTGGCTTTCTCGTCACTCGGTTCAATTCTAATGGGTTTTCTTAGTGTAGTTTATCTGCGTCTAGTGAGGCGCAAGTAAATGCGTGTTCGTTATAAAGCATAATCAGAGTCTAAACATGTATTCCAGAGCGAGGTACAGTCTTCTATCGAGCCTTTCCAACGATGACTGATGGCGATATGGTCTATTTGAGTCCATCGTTGGTTTGCTGCAGGTGGTCGCCGTGTTAGACGATGTCTCTCCTTATGCTTACATCTATTACTTGTCAAAAATAAACGATTGTCTGAGCACAGTTGCAGCAGACGATCACCATTATCTGTTCGTTGAGTTGGGATACTAAAATACCCACCTAAATCTCTTTCTGTTTGGTTTAAGTTACCGACTTGGGCACTAAAGTCACCTGCAACGAGTGATATGTCCGAGCGTTTAGCTTTTTGAAGTCCAGAGAGCTTTCTGTAAAAGTCATCTTTCACTTCATCCGGGTCGCAGCCAGTGGGAGCGTAGACAGAAATGACGAAATGGCAACGACTTGTGTCACTATCCTTCTGAGTTCTTACGGAACCGTCTAGCCGATTGTTAGCAGGGATCCATTCTAAAAGTGCTTCTCCTTCTCTCATACTTATTGCTATGCCTACACCTGCCAGTTCATCAAAACTTGCCATCGGGTCGTCAGATAAAAGGAGAGTTTCCCATTTTGGCTAGGTGAGTTCAAGTGAATTGACCAAACCAGGATCATATATGTGTGTTTCGGAGACAGCATACATCAATAGTATGAAATTCTAGGGTCTTAGCCGAAGAGATCTGCTGACCGATTTGACACAGAGTACATACGTCGAAGGCTCCAATGCTTAGTTTGGGGCGAGGTTCCAGTAGACTTGGGGCAGTATTTCGCGCACTAGAATTGTCGGCCATGGTGATACTCGAGGTAGGAGGGATTGTGGAAACTGAAGAAGGAAATTAATTATAAATACAGTGGTCTTGAGTGATGTTAGAGGTATGAGGACGGTTATCACTTTCTGGTCGCCCAAACCGTGGAAGGACTCTTCTAGAAGTACCTGCAAAGGAAATCAGGTTAGGGTTGGTCTTAGTGACCTGAGAGCATGATCGCAGTGCCCACGAGACAACTGCTTGAGACCTGTCACACACAATTTTTTCGTGGGTAAGTTTTATGTTAGCTTCGTACTTGTTGAGGCCTTACCACCGGAGATAGATATCCGTGGGATAAGGTGAGGTGTGCATTTTTAGGGTCAAACTTTTCTTACCTCACCCTTCTTTGTGGGAAGGCAGCACCGCTGTTATGCTGGTTCTGGGGCTAACACCTTATTGCCATCACACCCCTGTGGTCAGCAGTACGACTTCACCCTAGGACTTTGGGTTTGCTGCTTTTACTCTTACCGTCCTTCAACCGATTTGTCTGGCATGGTAGGACCTTGAGGAACAATTGTTCAATCTAGTATAGCCCTATTAGTTTATCTCGATAGGCAAGCCCGACCACCATGTCAAGGTAGTAGCAACAGTCGGATGCACTATATAAAACCAGGCACAAATTTACTTTAATTCACATTGATGGATTTCAAAATAATATATTATTAACAGGATACAAATAATAGCGACATCGATAAAAACGGAAGTTCATGAAACGTAAAACCTATGTATTAGGGTGAAGTAAACTTCAAGAAATAAATTAGGACAAATAAGTACATTTGCACTGAAGCATCTAATACTGAATTCTATTATTTGACGTCATAACAACTCAGCAGTTGAAATGCTTACGACTTCCGAAATGCCCAAAAGCTTAAAAGCAATGAATTTGTACCTAGATAAAGTTTCGATTGTATGGATTCTCAAGTTCATATTACGGCCGAATTTAAAGATAGTCATTACTGGGTTGCATAATGAATATAATAAAAGTGAGAAAAATTTGTTAACTTACAAATGCACTAAATATTAAGCCATAATTGACAGCCATATGAACAGGACCAAACAGAGTTCCAGTTGCAGCAGGCTGAATAACAAATGTACCGCTCAGTGTGAGAAATAAGAGTAGTACCCATATAGTATAGAAAACTTTTAGTGTTGTCCCAGTCAACAGAGAGATATGCGGAAATGTTATCAGAATTACACTCCAGGTAAGTAACATTGTGCACATTGGTAACTGCAATTTTATTAAAGTAGTCAGTTATTAATAATCGATTATACTATACAATTTAAGTTAAAAAAAGAGTTTTTTATTGTTCGTAAATAAAATTTTAAAAATTAACAATTTATTAACTGGTTCAGGTGCTAGTAGAAATTAAATTTATGAATTCTGTCAAACGTCTTCATAATATCCAAGACGTACCCTTCGTTATTAAATTAATTTCGACTACTTTTGAATTGCAATGATGTTTTCAGATATTCTGTCAGGTTATTTTTGAACGAACATACATTAAAGCTAGATTTTTAATATAACATATTTCCATGTGACTAATTAGTATGATTAATTTATCTCCAGTAATTTCGTTCTATTTACTTTAAATTTTTAACAAAATGTCTTCCGTGATACTTTAAGAACATAGAAGTTAATTCGCATCTATAAAAATGATTTAGGGATACTTTAGTTTAAATGAATTCTCATATCATCCTTAAAACTGACACGTTATATGTACATACAAAAAATCTACCTTGAACGAGACGCGATCAACAATCTCACCCCATATAATACGTCCTGCACAGTTGAACAGCGATGAAGCTGTAGCCACAGCTGACAAAAACCTGTCATCGCTAATAAATGTTTGACCAAATAGCTGAAATAAATAGTCAATAAACCATACTTAATCAACGTTAATCAGTGATCGTGATGAATGTTCAAAGTATAAAAAAAACGCAAACAGCTGATCTTTTCAAACATCATCTATTTTTTTAAATCGAATTTTTATGAACAGTTGAAGCGGTTTCCTTTAGTTGTTTAGAAATAATGAAAATATGAATACAACATGATTTTCCATTAAAAATGAATATTAGCAACGAATTAGTTTGAAACTACATCTGATCAGTAATTACTCTATTACTTCAATAATAACTTTCTGCTTCTAAGAACAAATAATTGTTTTACAACTTGTTCAGTATGTGAGAAGTTGAGCAGTGTGATGCTGTGAGAATTTAGATAAAATGTAAACTGTTGGTTTTGTGCACCTATTTTACAGACTGAGTGACATTGACGTACCCATGGGAAATATCACAAGTCCTTATCAATAGTTAGTTCCACCAGAGAATGGAACTTTTCTCAATTAAATAGTCTGACTTATTGAACGAATCTATATAAAATCAAAATATATTAGAGTTAGATTGTGTATTCTCTACAAACATTTAACGAGACAAAACCATATCTGTTCAAATTATATATATATATATATATATATATATATATATATATATATGTTTAGCAACACATAATCGAAACAGGTCATAAGATTGATCTTAACTCAGCTTTTGTTGTGTTGTTTAAAAGTGTAAAAGGGCGTATACTGAGGTTTATTGAAGCCTTAGCCATACGAAAATCAAACCCCCTTTGTGTATTCAAAAACAGTTTGTTCTCTCCTTAAACCTACCCTGGTAATAAATGCTTATTATCCAGAGTGATTAGGTGTCAAGTTGTTTTCACATTATTTTATCATTATTATCCTTGTCTATTTCTTAACCTTATTACCCGTCTAGTTGACCTTTTATTTTTATATATAAATGTTCTTAACAAGTATATGTGTGATCAGATTGTTCGAAATGTATTGCGCTAATATATCACACAGTTCTGATAATCTTCGTCTTCTTATTACATTATCGAAATTTATCAAAGGGACTAATTGCTTTAAATAATACATGTCACAGCATGTATAAAATGAAGGCAAATAAACAAAATAAAAGAATGAATTCGAAGAGGAAGAATGTAATTTGAAACTGAATATTTGTGTTCTTTTGATGTTCCAACTAATTGTTTAACAAATTCAGATAAGAGAACTGATTAGAATCATTGAATGTAATTGTTGTCACTCAGATAATACGAGATAGATAAAACGGAAAGGAGTTCATCCCCTGAGATTTTACAAACATATTATTCCTATTTAATGTCCTACATCAACTCGGCGCCCAAATACTGTAAAACTATTCGCTCTAATTTAGACAAAAGTTCTTATATATTATACTATTATTCAGAATATAGAAGTATAACGTCTGTTTTACTCATATAATTTCATGCAATTAGTTCCCTTTATGAATTTAAATAAAGCCAGAACAAATGTATAGTTATCATTGATAATCTTTTGCCATTCCAATCCCTTACATTCACTTATGTCAATTGTCCAACACTACTTATTACCCCAATGCTAAAATTCTAATACATATTTGGTTGTAAGCAGCTGATGAGAAACCACGAAATATAATGAATTCATATTATTCTGCACCAATATTAGTCATATAAACACGATTACATCTGCTGATGATACAGTGACTAGATAAATAAACATTTGATTCATTTCAGTTAACAGGCACTACTATTCTCATAGTTATTCGATCAAACAATAATAACATTTCTTCAATGTCCATAACTGCTAAAGGCATAATAGTGAATAATTTGATTTAGTAACTGGTCTACAAATATAGATATATTTTTTATGAAGTATTTATGGAAAATACGAGCAGACTATCAGAATTGGGGAGTTTAATGCCATTTAAATTAATCGAATGTAAATTTGACTCTTACTTTGTACGCAGAAGTAATGATAGTGATTGGTATAATATCACAGAACATTATGCACCATAACAGATAAAAATCAATATAACGAAAAACTTGTTTCGGACTGATATTGATTTCCCTGAAAAATAAAATATTTACCAATGATTATTTCACGGGCTGAAGTTAAAACAGTTTAAAAAAAGATTATAAATTAGTTAGTTTTGTGTTAACTAATTCAGGAATAGTGATATTACTTGGTTGACCGAACCAACGTAAGATGGGGAAACTTTAAACCCGCAATCGATTGGCTTAAAGCTAGCACTTTAACCATTATCTAATACCATCATTAATGACTGTCTCACTGTCTGTACGATTTAATCCCACCTATCAAAGGATTTAACTAGAATTTTAAAAAATCCATCTCCACACTAGTTATTGTTGGGTATACAATTAATATTAAGACAAAAAATCTGTACAGATTGTCAAACGTGAAGTCAGTTTTTAGCATGGGCTATACGGCAACTTAGACCGAAATAGGTTGAGGTGCATTTCGATCTAAAATTATGTGAGTGAAATCAAGTAATTTAACTATTAAGAAGTACTACAAAATATTAAGATACCTGAAGGTTAAATCACTTTTTATTGAATACATGGTAAACTAAGTGCAGTAATTGCATTTTTATAAAGAGCAGTAATATTAAAATTCATTGTAATTACATGTTACTAGCAATTATTCTCTACATTTTATTTATTTATAATAAAGTCTACTTTATGCTTGAAACTAATGTGATAGTTTGTCGAATATTTGGTGGTTAATTATTTCTAAATTTTATGAAATATATCAATTTTTATTAGTAAAATGTATATGATCATTAAACTATACTCCACTATCAATGAATAAAAATTTATTAGTAATGTAAGGGAATATAACATACGTTTGTTATAGTCTCTTTCAATACTAAAAACCTTTATCTAGTTAATTTATTTCTAATTGGTGCAAAGGATGATGGATTCTTAAAACAACTTCACTTATGAGCTAGTCCCTTAGTTAATACAGATTTAATTTACCCTGTGAACTACCATTTATTTCCGCTTATAAGCAGCATGCTCTTAATGGGGTTAAGTAGTTAAAATCAGTAGCTCTACTTAGCCATAGAAACTGGAACTCACCTAGATAAGCTCGATTTGTCATTCTAGAGTAATAAAAAGCAATTAAATAAGCAAGTTAATTTATGCATATAAAAGCGATTGGTAAAGAGACAAGCTTTTAAAAAGTTCTCATTTTAACTTCAAGTAATTTCCAAGACACTCTGAAACTTAGAACGATTGTTGAATGTAGCTTCATGTCAGCGATTACTTAAATTTGAGCCTGTGTTTTCTTTTTGCGAGACTACATGCTAGGCTAAATTCATTAGGTTTGGTGTGATATCATGTTATGACACTCAGTTCTTCTCGTTTACACGAATGGAACGCTGATTTGCCTTATACCATTACCTACACTTGATACCCTTCCCATTGTCTGTTCTACAGGACTTCAACATAACTCAAATCAAGAACATGGGACAAGCCTGACTAGGACGTAAGTATATTTCTACACCAAAAACAGACAACAATCGCAATAAATAATAAGGGTAGGAGAATATGTATATATATATATATATATCATCTAGTACCTGTCAGACTATCTGCTAGTCTGACTAAGTAAACAACCAATCATTATCTTCCTCGCCCACATATCACATCAGAAGAGTGATCATAAATTTCCTGCGTATTTTATAGTATAGAAGTCAGAAGTACAGATCGTCTTCCCGGATGACATTAGCCTAGTGCGATGTATGATCTATTCAAACTAACAGTGATAAGGGCTATTTCAGATTTATTTATGTCCTTCCACATCAAGCGTGGAACTACGTGTCCAACGCTGTCTTGTAGCACGCAGTACAAAGTAACTGACTAGATGGACAGGATGCTTACGAAAATCAGTTCCAAGTACGAGCGCTGATGTTTCGATAGCTTGTTTTATGGAAAATCACTTCGTGGTGAAGTTTTTTTAAAAATAAAACCTTTTACGCAAACCTACAACCCTGTGAGACTGATAAACAGGTCTTTCATTTATAATAACTTAGATCAGTTAACTAATCTCGCTACTTTGATTTATAAAACCAGAAAATGTAGTAAAATAAAGATCGAAAATAGCATATTGTATTTAACTTACAAGTGAAGATGATGCCTTTGGGCTGCAACTCGGATTACCTGTGTTTGAACCACTTACCTAGAACAGGAATTAGAGATACATATTGAATGGAATATCTATAGCACAAAATAAATATTTGCCATGCACCGTACTCATTTGGATTTACAAGTGTGAGTTCAGTTGGTTACAAATATCACATCACTACCCAAAAAACATCTCAATCATCAATAAATACGAGACCATTTATGGAAAAGATCCCTACAGGCAGATTCCTCAAAATTATTCATTTATAGCGTCTCACGTTGAAATAATCTTTCCTACGATATTTTGTCAGTTCGTGACTTGATAACACATCGTTATATTTAGGATAATTTACAATGGTTTAACAAAAAAGAAATGTCAAATATTGTGTGTGATACACTTCAACTGGCCATAACTGATTGAGTCATATTAATTACATTTTTCATTTTGTTTTGTGATCTTTTAAATCTTTGAGAATAGTTAAAGGTGTCAAGGCTTGAAAAATAAGAGTTCAGTCAAAAAAACATTTGCTCAAATCAACATGTATTCCGTGGAAAGCTAAATTTTGTTTGGTCGCGACTAAAAAAATACACTGATGCAACCTTGCTCAGGAATGTAAAAAAATAGAACTCACGATTTAAAATGTAACAATACCATAGTTTTCAGTCAGCTTGTTAATTATGGACATAAAAATCCAAAAACATTACGCTTGAGCTTTAAACATTTGAAAATAAGCAGCTGAAAGAATTTCGGAGCAATAAAACAACTATCTGTCAATTTCTACATGATTCTCATTTTGCAACGGATGTCGTTTCTTAAGGATTATTATCACAGTCAGAGAGCAATTAATTTTCAGCTTCGTAATGAAATCATGTTCACGGAATTCCGTAATTTTACTGACTACCGAGAGTTGGAGATTACTTACTTGGTTAGTCCAACATAGTTATATTCATTTAAATGGATTTCAAGTAGAATTTTTAACGCATAAAAAACCAAATACTCTAATTTATTTTGCAATGAAAAAACAGCCAAAATACCGATTCAATTGAGTAGTTATGGATAAATATTATATAAACAAGCCTATGGCTTGATCTCTTTTCCAATCAGTCTTTTACTTTTTATTTAGCCAAATTTAAAGGGAACCCCTATATGATCAGTGCAAATTATCCCAATATGTTTGTAGCACAGGAATCATTATATTTTAAAACATTTAGCTTACGCGTTTTGAAGTAGGTTTAGGACGTAATAATGCAAATCCAATAACTTGAATAGACAGCAAAATGCCACCAAGTATGAGAAATGCTGACGGTAAACGGTCCAAAACATCAGGATCGTTAAATCGTCTATCAATATAAAACAAAACTGTATACCTACATATTACGTAAAAGTTGAAACTCTTTTGAGTATTCGCATAAAATGAAATATAATTTGGTGATTATGATCCAAAACATTATCGTTAGCATTTTTAAAGTTACCATAGTTGAACATGTTCTTTTAAATATCAGTTCACCTTTTTAAAAATGTTGAACAACTTCATTCCTTATAGTATGTAGACGTTTACGTGATCACAAACTGCTTTCATTACAAACCTGGGCAACCAGAAAAAACTCTCCCGCTTAAAGTACATTTGATGAAACTGAAATGCTTCGAGAAGTTTTTTAGTTCACCTCAAAATATCACATCGATTAAAAACGAATACGGCAAACTATATAAGGTACTGCTCTAAACTTAAGATGTATTTATTCAAATAAAAATGCCTGATTTGTCAGGAAACGTTGGTCGAAACGTTCAACGCACTACCGACGAACACATCAGAGACTAATTGCCACTTTTTGCATCTATTAATACCATTCAGAACTCAAGTTATGCGATAGATGATACATCATCCGTTGTTGTGTATAAGCTCATTACTGCTGGAACTTCAAATGTTTAGGAGTACAATATCAAACCATTATGCTTATTGTAAAAGTAATCTCTCCCGAACTCATCAAAGATAACAGTTGTTCTTACCATCAGTATTCGTGTGATTAGGCTTCAGAATTTTCATTATTCTTCGTTTTAATAAAACGAACTAGTTTCTGTGCAAGACGCAGTTTGTAATTTTGAAGGCATAATTATAAACATAACAATATTGTTCTTCAGAATCACAAGCCTTTACATCAATTTCGAAAACTCTACTTAATTTTTAACTTTACTTAAATCAACTTTAAACAATAAAATTAATTATTTATAAACAAAATCTGTTTAATGTAAAATTTTAATTTAGAAGGTAAAACAGGATAAGCTCTTCTTAGGTAAATTATCTCGTTTCAGTGGCTGAAATAGAGCTGTCTGTGAGATTACTTTCGAGTTTCAGATTTTATTGATTACTGTTGAATAATTCTAATGTAAAACAGCTTCGTAAAAGATTTTCTATGTCTATCTAACATAAAATTTTCCTACCTTGTAACACTGTTCACCTTTACATTATTGGGATTGATTAGTGCTGTTTGAATTGGTGTGAAAACCAGTGCTCCGAGACCGAACCCGCCAGCCACTATTCCAACAATCAGGCCGCGATGAACTGGGAACCACTACAACGAGACGAAATAATACCAGTAATTATGTATATATATATATATATATATATATATATATATATATATATGATAAGTGTCAATAGCTCTAACAACACAAACTTTCTTCCCGACAGAAAATTGTTAGCGGGATTATTCAGTTAATCATAATCAACAAAGGTCACTTGTGTAATGTGCCTAAGCATTTTTTGTCATAGGTAGCAAATATTCTAGGTGGTACAAAACTGTAAATAGGAATATTATTCGTCAGCAGAAACCTTGTAATTTCGAGATCCAGCCTATTACTAGGTGGTCAAAATAGTAAACTGTTACGTAGAAAATGTCATATGCAAAAACTATTCAAACGTACAATTTCATCAGCAAAATATACGTGGTCTTTATTTTAACAACAAATGTTTGGTTTGGACATCAATTCGTAAGTTAGGATTCCAATATTCTTATAAGGGCTAATGCAGCTTCAAGGCAAATTCATCTTGATGCAAGACAGATTCTTTCAGAAATGAATGGAGCATAATAATACTTGATTTGATATTATGTAACGATGACATTTTTTACTGCAATACTGAGAAAATTCAAGACGAGTCTCTCCAGAACTAAATGAAAGACTTGAAGTGACGTGTTAAACTTTACCTGTTCATATCCTCTACATTTAATTTAGCCACTATAAAACTATGTAACAACCCACTATTGACTCAGAGAAACAAAATTAATACAAAATGATATTTTGACTATTTGTTCAACAGGCCACAGCTACTTGGAAGGTTATTATCTTGGTGGTAGCTCAGTTATTCAAACTTTAATGAATATGACAGGATGAGACCACTAACACAATAATAACATTTCAAATACACAGGACGATAGAGAACTACCAAACATCTCAATGTATCTTTAGAACTTGTCGTTCATCATTCGAGTAGAAAACTCAAATAGTCTCCGTGAGTCATCCAAATTTGGCTCAAGAAATTATACAGTTAACAAAAATTTGGTGTATATTCATCGTATGAAACTTTATACAACTGAGACAAGTGATAATTCTAAAAGAGTTTGAAACATAACCAATAAATTGACGTATAGATGTTATTTTATTTTAGTAAAAATAGTTTAACATGAAGTTAGCCTCTACTTTTAATCTCACAAGATGCATAATGTTTCATAATTCATAGGCAAAATATAGCTTATGAATTATGTAGAATCATCAGACAAATACTTTGATCCTTCTTGTAGAAAAAATTGTATTTTTAAAAAGCTTAGACAAAACTCCTTACCGAAGCTGCAACTGTTAATACTACTGAGTATCCAAGTCCCAAACCAGACCCCATTAAAACTGCATAAGTTATAACCACGCCAACATAAGTTGTTCGAATTGTAAAGTAAGTCAAAAGAACTCCACCACTACAAAAAACAAGCAAGTTAATGAGTATCAAAATTGTAAGAAACGCTTTTTTAGTTCAAATAACCCTATTTCTATTAGAATCCTATGTAAAATTCAATTAGCAAGCTAAATATTCATGAACGAATTTTCATAAGTGCATTATAATAAAGAATGTAGATTTTATGCAGCATAAAACTTAATGTTAAAATCAGAAGAGAATTTGGAAACGAAATCTATGACAACATACCTCATTGTAAGACAGCTGACTGCAACCACTATTCTAAATCCTAATTTATCAGCTACTATGCCACCAACTGGCATTGAAATCCCTTGAACTGCTAAGGCAATAGCTGATAGCCATATGGAAGCTTGATCGGATATATGAGGATCTATTGATGTTTGTACATACCCCATTATGTAGGGCACCATATTAGCTGATAAGTAAGAAGACGTGTTAAAAAAACTCACCAACAGTGTAGAAGTAACCGAAAGACAAGTTAATCAAAATTCCCCCGAAAATAGCAATACAGCCAAATAAAACGTTTACTTTTTCTTCTTCCTAAACCAAAATAGATGCATATATTACTCTCACATTCTTACCATCTTCCTAAAGCAACAACTCACTGGAACTCAACAAAAGTAAATTTTTAGTCAAGTTCGTACTCGTAAGAGTTATGAAGGCTTGAATAATTTAAACAATTCTTAACTCATTTTTTCGTTAAAGCTAAACGCTATTTGTATACTTTCAGTATAATTTTTTGAATAGTTTAGATTCTAATTTTATTGTCCACTTTCTAAATCTTTACGATATTCTCTTGAAAGTTACCTCTTCAATAGTTTTACAAAGTCAGAATAAACTTGTTTACTCCCTTAAGTATATCAAGGACCAGACATCCAGCATCTTTTATTAGTAATAAAGGTGATAGTCATTCAGCTGATTTATTACTCTAGTGAGTGATATGACAGAACGAGTGTCGAGGTAAGCAGTGAGCAATAACTACTAAGCATTAAACTATTCAGAAAATTTTGGCAACTGAAAACCGTCATCTCCATCATGTGAGACTCCTCATATCTATAGGTCGTAGGCATATTATAAGGCTGATAAGGACAGGGCAATAGGCGTGTTATGTGCATTCAAGAAACATTGGGCTCCATACTCATCTATGGAGTACTCCATTCAACACTTTTCCAGCGTTCCGTTGATAAAACCTTCCTCAATATGGCCTAATTTTGGTAGTAGTCCATTTTTTGAAACTTTGTAAAACCTTTTTATCAATGGAAATACAATGTGTTTCAGAGCACACCAAGGTTCTTGTACCACAAAAATGTTCGAAACGTTCTCTTACGGGAGAGTCAAATTTTCATCTACATGTTTGAACAACATTTTGTGAACGATGTCCTCCAGAATCCTTATAGGTACATCGGGTATACTAACTGGACAATATTCCTAGGTTTAGTACCCAGTAATCCCTTTTAATGTTGTGCTGAAACAGGCTTTGTTTTTCCGATTAGTAAACTAGTTTAGGTTACATATAGTTAGAGAAATGCACTTATAGGATCTTAAAGTTTCTTGAGGAGAACAGCATTTAGTTTGCTTGGTCTCATGGATTTTCAATACAGAGTTTACTAAGCATGGCAAAAATAGTTATTCAGGAGTCACAATATCCAGAGTTTGAAATGAATTGAAGATGTCATAAGTATTTGGAGTTTGACAACATCAAAACAGTAACACCCTGTATAATTGAAACGTGCCTATCTAGTGAAATCAAAAGTCAGAAGCGAAGAGGTTCGAAGATATACTTGATAGGTTATCAATATATTGAGTGACTGATCTAAACTGGTTAGCGGTTGCACAGGTTCCCACTCATGATCTGGTGCGGATCCACGACCGAGGCCTTTAGCTAGGTGAGTCCAATAAAATTAATATGACTTGCATCAAATGTCGAAGACTTACAGAGCTATTGTTTTTGGAAATTTATTTACCGCTACCAATCAGGGATAGTGATGACCCTTAGGCGTGGCCAGCCAGAAGTTTGAACTCAACGTGTTTGTCATTGATAAACACTTCTAAAAGCCTGCTATGCTCAGCAGCGCCTGATCGTCTTTCCTTAATATAAGAGGCCATGTGGTGCAATATTTTAATGAAAAACAGGTACAATGGAAATCTCGATTGATCGCAAACTTAATCTTTTTTGCCTTCTCCAGACGTCCCGGTAAAGAAGAAAAGGATATGTGATTGCATGTCGAATCACATTGATTAAAATATTAAAGATCCTCAATGTGAATACTACGACAGTGTGTGTAAGCTAACAATTCTGCTCTCAATTGGATCTTCATCAATTTCTACTATAAAATACATAAATATTTATATGGATATACACGAAAATATTAAACCAACAAATCTAATTTCAGAATAAGTGGTTGTGACGTCGTGAATTACGTGACTATGCACAAAAGATATAAATATGCAAGTCGATATTTACGAAACAGGTGTAATCGTTTTAACAGGGATGACAAAATAATAAAGGTTCTAGTCAATAATTCAATATAGGAAGTAGGTCAGATATGAATAGATAGACTTCAGTCAAACAAAATCAAGAAATTATTAAAATGAAGTATTCTCATTCTAAATATGAGGCGTTTAGGGTCTGCAGAAGTGACATATTATTGTTGAAAAGATCTTCGACCAGCCACACGAATTGTAGTGACACGTTAATCACAATGAATTCCAGGATCCAGGAGAGTCTGTTCCAATTTCGGTTGTTAATTCTAATACTAATGGGCAAATTCTAGATCACACAAGGTTTATATCAAATACATAGCCGGACAGACATATGATGGATCTAATGTAAATTACAGTGAATTAAGGAAATCTGGACTCCCATTTGAACTGCGACGGTTGTGAAATTTGTACTAACTGATGATTACTATAAACTTGACTGCGCTCTCATTAGGACTTCCAAATATCTCATTTGTGCTCATCTAATTATGAAGACATTAACTAGCACTATTTCAGGAATTAATTCGAATACCTCTAACTATAATATACAGTCTCACTTAACTCTCGTCTCCACGGTTTTAGGACGGTTGGAAATGGAGGAGAACTCAAAACAGAAAGTATTGTGTGTAGTTTAGTTGTCAATCGTTCGTAAACTTAAAACCAACCTTCATTAGTAAAGTTTATACCATCGACTTCTTTTTATTAGGCTCTTTAGTCTCCCAAAGCTCGAAAGAGTGAATCACACCATGCTTTATGAATCAGTTTGTTATACAAACATATAGCTTACGTCACGTTTTAACTACTTAATAATTTACATACGCCTGTTACTATCAATGGATAATAGACCGTCGACCAACATTCTACAACACACTCTTTTCTGAGTTACTGTAGGCCTAATACAAAAATAAAATTTGTTTCCATATAAGCAGCTAAACGAACAAGCACATAACTTCATAAAATAATCTTTTATCGATGAACATGCGTGAAACGTTATGGTTAATTATACAAGACTAAATACAAAATTATTAATAAGGTTTAACATTAACATAAGAAAGCCCTAAGCTAGTTGAAATACAAACAGGTCTACATATGTGTGTTCTACAATATAACTGTCCCATCATTGATACAATAAGTCGTACTATTTTGTTTGTATACGAAATAAATCTTACTGTAACAAAAACTGTGACAATCGTTAGCTTCTTGTTTATTAGAAAAATTTGTTCAGTGTAGTCATACAGAACTGTTTTCAAACAACAGTTTCATAGTAATATGTATTGATATTGTCATGGCCAAGTCAGTTTTCAATTTAAACAACAAGGAGATTGAAAGTGGACAAATGTCAGCCATTGTCTCCACATTTATTTCAGTTGTTTTAAACACTGAACGGCTTCTCGGTCCCATAGTTCGACATTTTATATAATAGTTAATGATAAAAATAGTTGAAAATGTAAAGAAATTAAGATCCTCTAATTTTACATTTTCATCACCTTTCTTACTTACTTACTCCTGTTACTCTCTATGGAGAATAGACCGTCGACCAACATTCTACAACACACTCCTTTCTGGGCCTTCCTTTCTAGTTCTATCCAATTTTTGTTCATTCGTCTCATGTCTGTCTCCATTTCTCAGCGTAATGTGTTCTTTGGTCTTCCTCTTCCTCTTGTGCCCTCTGGATTCCATGTGAGAGCTTGCCTTGTGACGCAGTCGGGTGATTTCCTCAATGTGTGTCCTATCCACTTCCAGCGATTCTTCCTGATTTCTTCCTCCTCTGGATGGAATCTGGTTTGTTCTCTCGCACAGTAGGTTGTTGCTGATAGTGTCTGGCCAAAGTATCCGAAGTATTTTGCATAGACAACTGTTAATAAACATCCGTATGTTCTGGATGATGGCTTTCGTAGTTCTCCACGTCTCCGCTCCATACAGTACAACTGTCTTGACACTTATATTGAAAATTTCGATCTTGGTGTTGGTTGACAATTGTTTTGACTTCCAGATGTTCTTCACTTGTAAACTTGCTTCTCTCGTTTTGCCTATCCGCATCTTCACATCTGCATCAGATCTACCGTGTTCATCGATTATGCTGTCCAGATATGTAAAGGTTTTCACATCCTGCAAAGCTGCTCCGTCAAGTGTAATTCAATTGGTGCATGCTGTATTGTATAGGAGAGTCTTACTATTCCTTTTGTTTATATTGAGACCTACTACTTCTGAGGCCGCTGCTACACTAGTCGTCTTCTCATGTATTTGTCGTTGCGTGTGTGATAGAACAGTCACATCATCCGTGAAGTCTAAATCGTCCAGCTGCAACCTAGGTGTATCCAGCCTGTTGATCTTGAAGTTGGGCGTCTCCGGAGTCCTTCATTCTTTTTAACAATAACCTGTTGAAGACTTTACCTGGTATTGAGAGAAGAGTGATTCCTCTGTAGTTATCACACTTGCTGAGATTGCCTTTCTTCGATATCTTGATCAGAAGTCCTTCTTTCCAGTCTGTTGGTACTTTTTCTTCATTTCAAATCTCACTGAAGAGAATATGCAGTTCATTCGCAGTTGCTGCTACATCTGTTTTCAGTGCCTCTGAAGGAATGTTGTCTGGTCCTGCTGCTTTGCCGCTCTTGATTTGTTTGATGGCCATGCTGATTTCTTCAATTTTTCTTGGGCCAACATCGATTAGGAGATCCGTGGGTGCTGCTTCGATGTTGGGTAGATTCAGTTGGGCTGGTCGATTCAAGAGTTCTTTGAAGTGTTCTACCCACCTATTTCGTTGTTCTTCAATGTTGGTGATCACCTTGCCTTCCTTGCTTTTCACTCGTCGTTCCGGTTTACGGTAATTTCCAGCAAGTTTCTTTGTTGTGTTATACAATTGTTTCATGTTTTCCTTCTCTCGCAGCGCCTTCCGTCGTCATCGCCAAATCTTCCAAATGTTCGCGTTCGTCGGTTCTGATTCTCCTCTTCACTTGTTTGTTTACTTCTGTATATTCGGCTTATGCCTTGGCTTTTTCTGCTCCTGTTCGGCTGTTGTTGATTGCTTCCTCCTTGTTCCTCCTTTCTTCAATCTTATCCAGTGCATTAACAGTGATCTATTTCTTGTGCTAGTGCTTCTTGTGACTCAGAACCTCCTGACATGTTGAGGTGATTGTCTCTTTTATCCCTTTCCAGTTGCTCTCCATGGCAGTTCCGTCT